CTGGAGGAGAAGGGGGAAAGCAGCACATTGTAATAATCTGAGTCCTACTGGAGGAGAAGGGGGAAAGCAGCACATTGTAATAATCTGAGTCCTGGGAAGCTGCACGTTAACTTGAGGCCAAACGATGTCCCCGGAGTTCTCTTTACATGCCGACAAAAAAAGGTCAAAGCAGCACTCGGTGATAGAAAGAAGGCTGCCTTCACTTGAACACAAAGAAAAGTGCTTTTTAAGAACACTTCTGCCCTCAAGCTGCTATCTGACAAACAGGCTTTAATGTTGGAGCAGAAATGCACTCTGGGAAAAATACTCTGAGTTGTCTGTTTTGTCCGCAGATTTTACCTAAATTCGGCAAAAGTTATAATTACATAAAGCCTCATTTGCATATTAACCCTAACCTGTTATATATATATATATATATATATGTTATATATAAACTTGTAATATAAAAGATAACTGTTAATGTCAGTCATGAAGTGTGGAAGTTTCATGAGTTTCATATTTGACCTCTAATGTCTCCTCCTCAGGAACCTGTCTGGATCCTTCAACCCTCTGCTCTGACTCGAAGGCATCGGGAGAGGAGGGAGAAGAGAGGGAGGTAATAGAGAGGGAAGTGGGTGAGGAAGGAGGAGAGGAAGCAGGAGAGGAAGTGGGTGAGGAAGTGAGAAACCAGAGTTCTCTGGAGGACGAGGCGACGTTGGGAAGCGACAGCGAGAATCTAAACGCTAACGGGATCGCCGGCACGCCCATTTCTGCAGGATTCACTCCGTCTCTGCCCGACGACAGGCTGTCTCTGTCCTCCACTGACACCCAGGTGAGGGTGCTTGTGGGGGCTTCCCTCTCCTGTAGTGGTGTTAGTGCTCCAGAGGGACCTTTCCTGAGTGTCCCTCTCTGATTAGTGTGTGTGTGTGTGTGGGTGTGTGTGTGTGTGTGTGTGTGTGTGTGTGTGTGTGTGTGTGTGTGTGTGTGTGTGTGTGTGTGTGTGTGTGTGTGTGTGTGTGTGTGTGCTCAGGAGTCAGGAGCAGCTCCAGGTCAGCCTCCAGGAGCAAAGTTCTCTCACATCCTGCAGAAAGACGCTTTCCTCGTCTTCAGATCGCTCTGCAAACTCTCCATGAAGCCGCTGTCCGACGGACCGCCAGACCCAAAGTAAGAAACCATGCAGCGCGGAAAATAAGATCAGAGTGTTATCTGCGCCGTCTGCAGGAGTAAAGACAGCCTCTCCTTTAAGCTTGGTCGGAGGCTGCAGAGGGAGAATAACCAGAAGGAGAGCGTAGAGCGCAGCCAATAGTTTCTATACTGAAAGTGATAAGGCACTATTAGCTGCGCTCTACGCTCTCCTTTATCCTCAGCTTTCTCTTTTAATTGATTTTCTTTGTCAGATAAATGTAAGCTTAAATCCAGGGAACATTTTGATATGTGTTATCTACTCTGTCTTTCTGCAAGATTTCAGAAAAAGCAACCGGGCTGAATTCTATGAAACGAGTTTGAAGGGTGTAGCATGAGATAAAGGAAGGACACTTTTGAATTCTTAATCACAGGGCATTATTTTGTACTTGTTGTGGTTATGTACTTTGCTGTGAAATATTTTAATGTTTTTTAGTTTGGGAAAATATAAGCTTGATCCATTAAAAAATGCATGAAGCTGGAGAGCAGTATTTGTGGCAAACTGCCCTCCAAAAAACAAACGTGAAAGTAGTATTTGTACTAAATATGGAGACATATATCTGCGTAATATATGTACACAATACACATACATACAAAATACAGTATGTCAACACGGAAAATCATGCAACTCTTATTATCCAAACTATTCCGATCTAAGGTGCCGTTTCCATTGGTTTCCCCAGTTTGGCACTCGTTTTTCTGGCATATGTTAGCAGCATAATAACTCACTAAACGGGTAATGTGGTCTTTTATACAACCCTAAAGATTTAGATGTATTCGTGCATCCTGTTTACAATAATATATGGTATTTTTCTCTAAGCAGTTTTCACAAGCTTCTCATTTCCTCTGTAGAGGATTTAGCACCATATTGCAGATCTGACAGAAGGGGTCTGGCTCGCCAAAGTGTTTCATGAGTTCCTCTCTCCTGCTGCTGCTGGAGACTTTAACTCTCAGATTTAGAAATGCAGTCTGATGCTTTGAGGGGAAACTGAAATCATTCTCCTGCAAGTACTCAGGTTTGGCGAGACGTTGTTGTTCTTCTTGCACCTCTGAAATGATGATGTCTGCAGCAGAAGGCTGGAAGAAAGTTGTTTTATGCAGGAGATTCACAAAGTGGCACACAAAACGGTGTAAATGTATTTCCAACGTTTATGATTCTTACACGTTTAGTTCAGCAGGGTAATCTCCACATATTAACACCACTTAATGATTTATGAAGTAAAAAGCTAATGTTGGGCTATAAAGGAACTACAGCACGGTCACATGACTTCACGTCACCACCGCTAAGCTAAAGGTGGCTAATGTTGGGCTATAAAGGAACTACAGCACGGTCACATGACTTCACGTCACCACCGCTAAGCTAAAGGTGGCTAATGTTGGGCTATAAAGGAACTACAGCAAGGTCACATGACTTCACCACCGCTAAGCTAAAGGAGGCTAATGTTGGGCTATAAAGGAACTACAGCACGGTCACATGACTTCACGTCACCACCACTAAGCTAAAGGTGGCTAATGTTGGGCTATAAAGGAACTACAGCACGGTCACATGACTTCACGTCACCACCGCTAAGCTAAAGGTGGCTAATGTTGGGCTATAAAGGAACTACAGCACGGTCACATGACTTCAGTCCACCGCTAAGCTAAAGGAGGCTAATGTTGGGCTATAAAGGAACTACAGCACGGTCACATGACTTCACGTCACCACCGCTAAGCTAAAGGTGGCTAATGTTGGGCTATAAAGGAACTACAGCACGGTCACATGACTTCACGTCACCACCGCTAAGCTAAAGGTGGCTAATGTTGGGCTATAAAGGAACTACAGCACGGTCACATGACTTCACGTCACCACCGCTAAGCTAAAGGTGGCTAATGTTGGGCTATAAAGGAACTACAGCACGGTCACATGACTTCACGTCACCGCTAAGCTAAAGGA